AATTAAACCATATGTTAGTCCCGAAATGACCTAGTTTGTGCCGAGTGGACGTTAAACCCCATTTCTCTCTCTTTCTCTCTGAATTTGATAATTGAAGATGATTGTTTCAGAAAAAAAAGGGACAATCATCAATCTTTCTCTTGGATTGGTTTATAATAGCAAATTGTAATACTTTTTTAAGGGCAACTTAATTTGACCTGACCCAGGAATCTACCTGTCAATAAATAAACCATGTGCAGAACTTACCAGTCAGCTAATTAGAATTTCAAAGAATTTAACCTTAAGACACAATAAATGTAGCTTAATTGTTTTTATGCATAAAACCCCCATAACAATACAACGGGGCCAACTGACGCATTTTTAATTTCATCTCCTTTGTCTTTGCACCATTTTACCGGAGTGAGAATCATTTGTGGTATATCCAGTCGTTAAGAATTTAAGTTCTCCTATTCGTTCAGAAATGGTAATGTGGTCCGTTTTTGCATCGAAGACTCCGTGTCCAGTAACTTTTGTGGTATAGTCTAGATGTTGTATCCACAGGTCATTTTCGTCAGTTACGTATTTCACAACAAGTTCTACATGTTAGAACAACACATAAGAAAAGAGGAAATCGTGGGGGATGACTTTTGGGATACCTAGTCGTAAATGCATTTCCAATTATTTTCGTGATGATTATTTTTAACTTAGAACTTGGTGTGCATTACATTACAGACGAATATGATCTGTGGATACCATACCACACAAGTTGCGGACACAGAGACTTCGATGATTCATTTTACACTTTTCACTTTATGAAATACATGACTGACAAATATGAATTTATCTGTCTAGATGATACCACAAACGGTTTCCGGACATAAGTCTTCTGAACAAAAGTTAATAAATATTGATATTCGTCAAGCAGTGTGCTATGAGAAAAATTGGCCCAGACAGTGGTACTATGGTGTACTCTTATTTCGAATTCCAACTATCTAGGGTTCTTGTATGCGCACGTCAACGTGTACATATAAACCTGGTTTCTCGAGAAGCCCCCGGTGCTGCATCCTGACAAGGAGAAACCACACTGGAAAATCCTAAGGTACTTTTTCAGCAAACATAGGGATCGAACCCCAGATCTCGTTCTTAGCGAGTCTTACTCACTGAACCACTATTTCGAACCATTTCTGAATAAACAATAGATAAATTCTTAACAACTGGATATATATACCTCACTGTTTTGCTGGAATAATATTAAATCTTGTTTATGTGAGATCCAGTATAACAGTTCCAGTTACCATCAAAATAACTACTACTCTTTGCTATTACAAGCCAATCCCATAGGAAAATTCACGATTGTCCTGTTGTATTTTTAAGCAATTATCTACCATCTTCAAAATTCATTTTTGATGTAATATTCATTTTCAAAATTCATTTTTGAGGTAATATTCATTTTCAAAATTCATTTTTGAGGTTATTTTCAAGTTCGTGGACTTTGAAAACCTAATAAAGGACATTATTACAAGCCATACAAAACCGAAAAAATGACGATTATCTGAAAAATCGTTCATTTTAGGAAATTCTGGTCGCCATTTTGGATTTTGGAAACTCTTCTTTTGAGGTTGTTGAGTGACACAGAAAACCCTTTAAATCGCATATCACTCGCCATATCAAACTTAAAAATGACGATTATCCGAAAAATCGACCATTTTAGGGAAATTCTGGCCGCCATTTTGAATTTCCGCCATCTTGGATTTTGGAACCCCGTTATATTTAGATTAATTTTAAGTTTAGTGACACTGAAAATCCTTTAAATTACATATTATAAATCATATCAAAGAGTGAAATGACTTTTATCTGACAAATCAGCCATTTTATATTTTTGTATTTATTGATGTCAGTAAGATGTTACTATGGAGAACGTAAATTTCAGATTAGACATTCCAGACTTCGTAATTGTAAAAGTGCTCTAAACTTCCATAGATTTTTAATGCATATTTCACATAACCCGACATGCAGTTGTGGTCATACTCAAGAAGACAGCGACCATTATTTTCTGCACTGCCCAAATTATTCGTCTCAGCGTATCTCAACATTAAATACCCTCCCATTTAAATCCATAAATACAAAAGCGTTCCTATATGGCGATACCAACGAAAGTAACCCGTTCAACAAAGTGAGTTTTAGTAAAGTTCACAAGTATTTAAAACTAAACAAGCGCTTTGAATAGATAAGGTAATTGTCAGGCGACGATGATTGGTGTTAAATAGTGATGATGACGATGACGATGATGATGACCATGAAGATGATTTATTTATATATTTATTTATATACTAGAAGAATGCCCGGCTTCGCTCGGGGGTCATAACTCCGAAACCGGATGTGGTAGACTAACGCCACCTGGCCTATGTTACTCCCCGGTATGAGCTACCCCTATACCCCAAATTTCAGACTCGGAAATGACAACGTGAATGATGGATCAGTCGAACGACAGAGTGAATGACAGGAGTTTTCCAGTCGAATAATAAAGATAATGGCAACGCTGGTCATAGCATATCTGTTTATAATATATTTCATATAAATGTTTATACACGTATTTGAAAAATACATTTAGGTCTACGTGTAATGTTGAATGTATAAATTCGGAAATGTTTTGATCTCTTGAACTGTATTATTTAAAATACACTATTAACGTATTAAATTGTAAATAATGAATCAAGCCAAGACATGTATTAAATGTTTTAAATGTTTTATTGAATTGGAATAGAAACTGAAAACAGATTAACACCCTGTGTGAGATATTTCATTCAAATATTGTGAAAGGGTTGGTAATAAAATTAAAATTGTCATTGTGTCATTTTAATAACATTGAATCGTCCTATTCTGTTACGTAGTCGTCTCAACATATTGTTGTCATGGGTTACTTCTGCTAAACAACTCAATAGAAACGAGTAAAGTATTATAAACGAAATTATGTCTAAAGAGTTCTTCATGACATGTATTGACTGTAAGACACAAAGCGTACAGGATCTAAGTGTGATATTAAAGGTCAACACGTAACTAGTGAACTGATAAATATTGTACAATTTATCTAAAGAGTACATTTATGAAAACGTGGTACTTTTCTGATATCTAGTTAAATTAACACTTACCCAGATCTTGGCATAAGCATGACTTAAAATGATCACGGCTAAAACACTTCCGTGCGAATCAAGAATTCTTTATGTAAGAATAGAGCTTTATAAGACCGTAAATGCACCACACATTATGTCTCCATAAGATGGTAGCTATATCAAACTTAAAAATGACGATTATCCGAAAAATCGACCATTTTAGGGAAATTCTGGCCGCCATTTTGAATTTCCGCCATCTTGGATTTTGGAACCCCGTTATATTTAGATTAATTTTAAGTTTAGTGACACTGAAAATCCTTTAAATTACATATTATAAATCATATCAAAGAGTGAAATGACTTTTATCTGACAAATCAGCCATTTTAGGTAAATTTTGGCCGCCATTTTGAATTTCCGCCATCTTGGATTTGGGGAAACTAGTTTTAGAGATTATTTTTTCAGTTCAATTACTAAAAAACCTTATATATGATATATTACAAGCCATACCTTGCGTGATAATCACCCATACTATCTGGAAATTAATTTTTCGTCAAATTCTGGCGGCCATTTTGGAAATCAGAAAAAACCCAACCGAAAATGACGTCACAGAAGTAAAATAATCTCATAATCGTCTTCAGTGACAAATTTTGCCTCAGAAACAACCCGACCCCAAATTTTGTTCCGATTGTGACACCCCTATTGATAGGTATCCCCCCTAATACACGCGCGCCACCTAGCGTGGAATGTCGACGGCGGACCCCATTAGTGGTTTGGTGTAGCTAAGATTGGGTACAATCTGTTTTGGGTTTAATGCCCTACGGTTCTGCACCTGCCGGGATAATGAAATGAAATAGGGTTTAAAGTCCTACTGGGGCAATGAAGACGGGCATACGCCATACAGTGTACAATGAGGGAAATTTTGCCCGGGCAGCGGCACTATGGCCTACTCGTTTCTCGAATTCCTTCTGCCAATGGATCTTTTACGTTTAGGCCATTGTATACACGGGACCTCGGTTTTTCGTCCTATAGACAGCTGTCCTTACCAGGCCCTCCGTATTTCACCGTTGACAAGGAGAAACCAAGTCGGAAAATCCGGGTGAACTTTCTCGGCCAATGCAGGGATAGGAACACCCGACCTCCAGGCTAGCGAGCAAGCGTCTTACCCACCGTGTAAGACGGACATATCGATTTCAGGACCTCCTGGCTAGAGAACCAGTACCTTACCCACTGAGCCACGTTGACTCCCATATATATTAAACAAATCTGACAATGCGTCAGTATAATCATTGTGAATAGTATAGGACTATAGTCTGTTCTAATTAATTAGTATCACTGGAGTAAATTTTTGTTACTGGTGAACACTTCCCACAGTAGATTGGGCAAATTGGTGAAATCAGTTCACTAATAAGTTTACATTGTGAGTAGTTTTGATGTAATAATTAATTTGACAAAAATAAATAAACTACTGATATTTAATCACAGCTTATCAGTTGATATATATAGCTCCTCTGAATCACAAATGGTCATTCCAAAATGGCGAACGCTCTGGTTAACTTTAAGATACATTGCTTATACTAAAGGTGGTTAGGATTTTTATATGTGTTAATTTGTATATTATTAAAATTCTGGAAATGGTATAATATAAGAATCCATATATGTTTTTTTACAGGTAATCTTTTTCACTAATATTATTTAAATCATTGTGTTGCAGTGTCACAAACGTGTTACAGACTATACTTTAAACCCCCTTTGTTAATTAATTAGTCATGGCCTAGTGGACCTAGACTCTAAACAGTAGATGTGGGAAAAGTGAGGTGTCCCCCAATGTCCGTATGCTGTATGCCCAGTCTGTGAGTTTGTCTTCTGGGGATTTGTTTGTTTATGCGTGATGCGGTTCTTTGTAGGACCTACCTGGAATAGTTGATTCTGATCTTTGATACAATGCTGAAACTGATTTGTTTTCAAGGAAAAAATTTCTCAACCGAGCCCAATTAACTTCATCTACTTCCCATTCCTTCTCAAAATATAAGATTTGTTCGATAATTAGTCCAAATTTTTCTGGTATATCATCCTTCCCTTCACCTATAACAATAGGCAGGAAAGTGGTACTTTTACCGCCATCGATCAAGTTCTTAAACGATGTTTGCTCGGTGTATTTATGCCAGTAATTGACCCTAAAGCCTTCAGTTAAAATGACCACTACTTTCTCGGATGGTTCAATCAACCCAGCCGTGAACACTTCAAATAAATTACTTCCGGGAAGAATTTTCTCAAAATAATACGAATCGGTAAAGCCACACGCTGCTAGTTCATCTTCCATTTTCGCTAGAAAAGCTCTAGACAATTGGTGGTCTTTATTTCTGTTACTTGCTGGACCCTCATAATAGTTGTACAGAACACAATAATGGTACTTTTTTCCTCTTAATTTCGGCTTTGGAATAACCCCGACCATTTTTACTCACTGTCTTGGGTTCTGTTCTGAGAGTTGTGCCCCCTTGTATTAGGTCATTTTGACACCAGTTTAAATATAGTTATCACAAGCTGCTTCAAATGTAGCAAGAGTTTTCAGGAAGATCAGGGAGATTAGGACGGCAGTGGAATGTAGCTGGCGGTCATCTGATCCTATGGATTAGTTCCGATTTATTCTACACGCCCGTTGTATTATAGTTTTGAAATTGTCACCAATAACACCGGTTTATTATATCACAATAGTTAACTTTACATATGTGTCACATTCCTTGACGCCTCGCGGTCGATATATCGCGTGCAGATATTAAAAGTTCGTCTGCTTTTCGAGCTAGAGTAAAGCGTAGCATTTTGGTTTCATCTTTTAATATATACTCTTCAAAACAAGTAGGGGATATTCAGAAACAACACAAAACTGCGGAAATACACTGCCGTTTTTATTAGAGGTAACCACTGTATGTTAATAAGAGGCCGATTGCCTACACATGAACATAAACAGTTCATATGAGCGGCTTATCTGACCGCCCCATTTCACTCGCAGAGATACACCGTCAAAAGTGAAAATGGACGTTTGTCTTAATAATGAGTAATTGCTTCACCAATCCTCAGACATTCAGCAATTCGTCGTGGCATGCTCCTACTCAACCGTCCAATCACGATTTTGGGCAATCTGACCCACTCCTCTTGCAGTGCTACGGCCAATTCTTGCAGTGTTGTCGGTTGACGTAACACACTAAAGCAAAGATTCGCTAAACAGTAAATCTTATGCAAGAACCGATGGGAAAGCAAACATGGATAAATAAACCAGCACGCGGCAGTTTTCATCAACCCTTTCTTGAAGTGTCAAATTTGACAATGAACCCCTCCCACGTGTATGTGCAACTCAGTGGTTATTTTAGGGCGATTAGCTCTTCATCTCTGTACTTACTCTCAAAGCATGCCATGTGTCCATGACTATACATCATATCACAACCTGCATAGGTATTTGCATTTCAATATCCCCAACGTCTTTTGAAGAGTATATATGCTACTCTTCATGAAGGTATTGAAACAATAAATCTTTTATGATCTATAGTTGTTCTAGTTTATATATTACAACAGGGTAACGAATTATTATATATATATATATATATATATATATATATATATATATATATATATATATGTTTATACACAACATATAATGCGACATAGGGCATGGCGTTTGCTAAGACCCACTTCTTATCCACTTCTGACATTTCCTATTCTAATGTGTTGGTCAAAGGTGCGGTGCCCTACTAGTGAATTGGTGGTGCGATGCCCTACTAGTGAATTGGTGTTGGGATGCCCTAGTGAATTGATGGTGCGATGCCCTACTGCTGAATTGGTGGTGGGATGCCCAACTACTGAATTGGTGGTACGATGCCTAACTACTGAATTGGTGGCATGATGCCTAACTAGTGAATTGGTGACGCGATGCCCTACTACTGAATTGGTAGCGCGATACCCTATTAGTGAATCGGTGGTGGGCTGCTCAACTACTGAATTGTAGTGCGATGCCCTACTACTGAATTTGTGGTGCGATTCTCTACTAGTGAATTGGTGGTGCCATGCCCTACTACTGAATTGGTGGTGGCTGCCCAACTACTGAATTTGTGCTGCCGTGCCCAGTTACTGAATTAGTGGTGCGGTGTAAACTACTAAATTAGTGGGTTGTTGTAGCTGATTGATAACGGGTACAATCTGTTTGGGTTTATCGCCTCACTTGTCTGCATGAATCGGGCTAATGAAGACGGACATGCGTCATGCCCTTCAGTATCGATTCCGGGACCCCCAGACTAAACAACGAGTCACCCTACCCATTGAGCCACGTTGACTCCCATATATATTAAACAAATTATTATTTTTAGAATCTGGAAATGCGTCAAAATAATCATTGTGAATAGTAGATACAATGACATCAATATTGTACCCATCGCGAAATTAATTACTTTCGTTTTCTTAAAGGAACAAGAGCATCGCTAACGCTGCAATATACGTCCACATTCCAGCATTGATTGATATGGTACTTTTTAAAATGAAGAGAATGAAAAATGAAATGACTGTAATATGATAAAAGGCAAAGACGGCGAGGCGTTGGGTTTGTTTTGCCAAATTTACAGACAACATACTAACAAAAAAGTGGGTGTGACACTGTCCCAGGAGGGACACAGTTCCTAGATGATCCATTCAGAATTGCAGCCTGTAGACGATAGATACAAAAAATGGGTGTGGCTCTGCCCCTGGCGGTTGGACATGCAGTTGTCGTCCTTGGGCTATAAGGAATACATATCCCAAGTTCAAACACGATTAGGAATCGTGGCATGTAGGCAACTCACAGGGACACAAAGAACAAATGGGTGTGGCTCTGCCTCTGGGGGTTGGGCAATCACCAAAAAAACAATAGGGGCATCCTTAGGGTATAAGGAATAGGTATGCAAAGTTTCAAAATGATCTGTTAAGAATTGCGGCCTGTAGATGACAAACAAATAAATACAAGAAATTGGCGTGGCTCTGTCCCAGGGGGTCAGGCATGCACCAAAAACAATAGGGATCATCCATAGGGTATAAAAAATAATTGTGTAAAGTTTCAAGATGATCACTTAAAAAGTGTGGCCTGTAGGCGACACATAGACAAACAAAAAGAAAATGGGCGTGGCTCTGCCTCTGGGGGTAGGGCATGGCACCCTAAAGGACAGGGATGTTCCATAGGGTACAAAGAATAAGTATGCAAAGTTTCATTATAATACGTTAAGAAATGCAGTCTGTAGACGACAAACAAATACAAGAAATGGGCGTGGCTGTGCCCCTGCGGGTTGGGCATGCACCCCAAACGATATGAATTTCCTTAGGGTACAAAGAATAAGTATGCAAAGTTTCAAGATGATACGTTAAGAAATGCGGCCTGTAGACGACAAACAAACAAATAGAAGGAATGGGCGTTGCTCTGCCCATGGGGATCGGGCATGCACCAAGAAAGTAGGGTATAAGGAATTCATTCGAAATTTTTTCAAGACGATCAATTAAGAATTGTGGCCTGTAGGCGGCACACAGACACACAAAAAGGAAATGGGCGTGGCTATGCCCCTCGGGGGTTGGACATGCACCCCAAACGATAGGGGTGTTCCTTAGGGTACAAAGAAAAAGTATGCAAAGTTTAAAGATGATACGTTAAGAAATGCGGCCTGTAGACGACAAACAAACAAATACAAGAAATGGGCGTGGCTCTGACCCTGGGGATCGGGCATGCACCAAAAACAATAGGGATCATCCATAGGGTATAAGGAATAAGTGTGTAGGGTATAAGGAATAAGTGTGTAAAGTTTCAAGATGATCACTTAAGAATTGTGACCTTTAGGCGACACACAGACACACAAAAAGAAAGTGGGCGTGGCTCTGTCCCTGGATGTAGGGTATGCATCCCAAACGATAGGGATGTTCCTTAGTGTACAAAGAATAAGTATGCAACGTTTCATTATGATACGTTAAGAAATGCGCCCTGTAGATGACAAACAAAGAAATACAAAAACAAGTTTGAAGAAAATCCAGTAAGAATTGCGCCCTGTAGGCGACACAAAGACACACGAAAAGAAAATGGGAAATGGGCGTGGCTCTGCCCCTGGGGGTTGGGCATGTACCCCAAACGATAGGGATGTTCCTTAGGGTACAAAGAATGTGTATGCAAGATTATAAGTTAAGAAATGTGGCCTGTAGACGACAAACAAACAAATACTAGAAATGGGCGTGGCTCTGCCCCTGGGGGTCGGGCATGCACCAAAAACAATAGGGATCTTCCTTGGGGTATAAGGAATAAGTATACCAAGTTTGAAGAAAATCCAGTAAGAATTGCGCCCTGTAGGCGACACAAAGACACACGAAAAGAAAATGGGCGTGGCTCTGCCCCTGGGGGTTGGGCATGCACCCCAAACGATAGGGATGTTCCTTAGGGTACAAAGAATGTGTATGCAAAGTTTCAAGATTATTAGTTAAGAAATGTGGCCTGTAGACGACAAACAAACAAATACTAGAAATGGGCGTGGCTCTGCCCCGGGGGGTCGGGCATGCACCAAAAACAATAGGGATCTTCCTTGGGGTATAAGGAATAAGTATACCAAGTTTGAAGAAAATCCATGAAGAATTGCGCCCTGTAGGCGAACCACAGACACACACACACACACACACACACACACACATACATACATACACACACACACACACACAGACAGGGGCGACGGCATAATACGTTCACATTATGAATGTGGACGTATAAAAATAGCATATATTTTAGTTTGCATGTAGCAAGGCAAGGGAAGTGGGACTGGAGTTTCTATTCACACCTAAATGAGAGAGGAATTCACTTAAATTATTATTAATTACATTTTCTCTAAAATAAATACAAAACAATTTCAGGCTTTCGTCGCCCACCCAATCAAGGCCGCTTTGTCTCGTGCGGTTTCTTCGGTCATCTTTTACTGGTGACATGGGTTCATACTCAAAATGGTCGGTTGGATGGTCAACTAAGTGTTTATATCGCACATTTATCAATCATAATGTATGTCACTGAGTCAAGTAGCGTGCTTTCGATTCTACGCGTAAAGAGCAAGGTCACACGCCCCCCCCCCCTACAACTGCTAAAGAACTCTACGCACAATTGTCTAAATAAAATTGAAATATATGTTAGTCCTGAAATGACGTAGTTTGTGTTAAGTGAACTTTAAGCCCCGAGAGAAATGCTGCATCAAAACATTTTATAACTGACAACATCAAGGTAAGGTGCTATATAAAACTGGTTTGTTCGAGAGGAAAGATAGATGCAAATCGTCTTTGCCCATTTCCGTGAAACTATATGAAATTATGTGATACGTTTACGACGAAATACAAAAAGGGTTCAGTTTCCATGCAATAACAAATATGATATACATTTGTCGCCATTTGCTTGAGAAGGTTGAAATTTAGCTATATGAAATATTTAAATATGTTGTCCTGGGTCCAAAAACTAGTAAATGGAGATGGTTATATATGAAATATTTAAACATATTGTCCTGGGTCCAGAAACTGTGGTAGAAAAACAATAAAATCCACAAACTTGCTTAAACCTAGAATAAAAAGGAGATTACAAATAAGTTAAGATGACTGAGCGTTCACGTGGTTTGATGTGCGAATGCAAAAATTGACGTCCTACTTTTCTGCATCACTTGGCTTACCCCATGCTGTGTTATTCGGGCGTTTTTCTTTCGGATGGATGCGTTTCCGACTGACCAACATAGAATTTTATCTACCAAGGGTTATTGTATGTTGTTCTTGAAATTGACTGGTTAGTGTCGAGTTAAAATTTCTTGTTAATAGATTAAAGAGAATATATGAATTGAATAAGGCTATACCAGAACTTGCAAATGATTAATCTATACTAATATTTGTGACTGTCGTTTGTCTGTCCGGGGTTGGCGGCTACACTAGGTCTGCCCCGAGTCTGAAATTTGGGGTATAGGGGTAGCTCGGACCGTGGAGTAACATAGACCAGGTGGCGTTAGTCTACCACTTCCGGTTTCGGGGTTATGACCCCCGAGCGAAGCCGGGCATTCTGCTAGTTATAGATAATAGAGAAACACATGAATAGTATAAAGCAATACCAGATCTGGCAAATGATTAGTCTGGCATGGTACATGGTATTCCAAACCCTGCACTTACTGTGTTCGGTAATTAATAATTTAGATAACATTTCAGACCTAAAGAAAGACCTATAATAGGCAGATTTAGCGCTTGGATAATGTATGTTTAATGGTAAATAAGCTCCGATATGGATATCTAAATATCCAAATACAGGTCCCTGGGGATGAGATCTGAAGTTGATCTCCGAATGACAGGTTTGTAGGAAGGTTCTCTCTTAACTGACGCTAAGCATTCGGCCATGCAACCCCCCAATACTGGAGACAGGTGATTAAAGAAATATATAAGACAATATGAAATAGATATTAATGGGTGGGTAATTAAGGTGGATTAAGATCCATTAAAATATAGTTTACTGAATTAAGTAATACTGTGCGGATTAGCACGATGTATTAAAATTGGGTCGACATTCACCCCACTACAACAGTAGCCCCTTAAAATGAAATTGAAATCGGTTTTAATATCGCACCTTTCTGTTCCGACAGGGCTAATGAAGACGGGCCTAGACAGGATCGAACAAGGGCCCCCCAGGTCAGCGAGCCAACATCTTACTCACAGAGCTCCCTCGAAACATGAAACTGAAAACCCTACACTTTTTTTCAACTTATGACAAAACTGTTGTCGACAGGTTGTATGCTATCTTTCAATTATCCAATCAAAATTATTCATTTAATGGCAATATTCTCGGTGTTTAATTTGTCGCCTGTATGTCTATCGACACTGTCCATGCTTTATTTCTAATACAAACAAATAATAATAAAATAAATTCCAATGCCTTATTTTTTGATGACATTAATTATATGACTACTACATAAATTTGTTCATATTTTATTGGTCGTTTTGACACACCCAAATAGATTGCCAAGGCAGTGGCGTTTCGTCTTTTGACGAGAGATCGAAACCTAATTTGGTCAGAGCTAAATGAGTAAAAAAGGTTAAATCACATCGTTGCTAGAATTACCAGATAATGAACACAAGAATAAAGAATGGATTAACAAACCTTTAGCTTATAAAATCTATATTTAACGTGGTATAAAACAATGTAAACTATAACTACTGCCATTTCATTGAGCAGGTTTAATACTGTGTTCAAGACCGGTATATTTAATCGTATTTATATACGAATCAGAATTCTTGGACCCCCCCCCCCCCTCCCCCTTCAAAGTTTTTGTTTAGGCATCAGCTTAATTCTAAAATTATGTTTTTTAGTTTCATCACACATTGCCCAAAATGAAATTCAAGACGTCTCTGTAATCTGAAATAAAAATAAACGAAATGTAAATAGGGGTATTCATGTCGGTCGGCCAAACATGATTTTTGATTTGATGTATTCACTTTTCACTTCTCGGGTAGTATAAATACTTTCATGGATTTCATGTAGTCTAACTTAATCTGCATGTATCTAGACCAGTAGTACTCAACCTTTTATTGCCAACGGCACATCTTGGAACACATGAAAAAACAGCTGCACACCTGGCTAAATATATATGAAAAATATTTGAACTTTTGCAAAATATATATGAAAAATATTTGAACTTTGGAAAATATATATGAAAAATATTTGAACTTTTGCAAAACAAAAACATGGCAAGTCATAGACGGCATACAGCCGTAGACTCAGACTAGTCATAGACACATACTAAATAAAGAAAACACGCAGCTATGAATTTATCGCAGCGTTTCGAATTTCATAAGTCAAATAGCTGGCTTTCTTAGTGAGCCGTTCAAAATTTCGCGGTACACGTAGGTAGATCTAGTGGTCTAGCATTAATGATCTAGACCACGGGAATCGGTCAAGACAATCACTTGAGGAACATCTACACTCAAATTCTGCCGCTGTTAGGTGTTATTGTCTAAAGACTCTATCAAACAGCTAATCTCTGTTTAGACCAAGTCATTATTGAATTCATAGGCATGGCCAGTACTAAATTAATATACATCAATTAGAAGCAGACTTATTGTGACGAACAAACTCATTTCAACACTTTCATACTTTCTTCCAAATGAGGGCGACAAAATTATTTGTTATAGTGCCAATTGTGCCGTTGGTTGTATTCGATGTGACTTACTGTAGAAGCGGGGGTTAAATACCAACCAGGCCGTCAGAATTAATGGACATTATACAATTGAAAAGAGAGAGAGAGAGAGAGGGGGGGGGTAACGTCCACTCAACACAAACTAGGTCATTTTGGTACTAAAATGGAAAAAGAGCATCCAAAGAGGTGTTCAAAGTGACCGTCCCTGTTGAAAGTATCATTCAAGGGAGATAAGGCATGTGGTCAAAACACAACACAAAGCCAAAGATGATATAATCATCTAACTTCAAACATTTCACAAAAACAAAATAGAGAATATTAAGGAAAAATTAAATTTGAAATTCGATTCTTAGTTTAAAGACAATTGCCATGTCACCAAATCATTATCAAGTAGTACTTTAAATCAATTGTTAAACTCACAAGAAGACTTCTTCTGTTCAGCAGGATTTGCTTTAACTGACCCTGATGTATGACCTTTTTCTTGATGAGCAGCTTTACTAATGTGAATAGAATCAGGTGCATATTCGGGAATTACAATGGTCTGTGGTGTAGATGGTGGGCGATCTTCTTCCGAATCATCTGGTGGTTTCAGTGGAAGTTCTGTGAAACTCCTAGCAGCACCAACTGGGTCCACTCTAGGACCAGAGGGGTTGGAATTAACTTTGGTTGTAGGTGATCTGCATGATAGTCCCCCTGTAGCTCCACCTTGACAGGAAATTCTTTTCGATTGTTTAGATCCACATGCAGCCCCGCTAGGATGACTTAGTGGTCTACCATCAATGCTAAGGTTGTTCACGTTGGGTAGATCTTGTCCCGTAGCTGGTACACCATCTTCAGCAAGGCTATTAACGTCTTGGGTTTCTTCAACTGAAATGTAATTGACATATAGAGAGTCTACAATACAATGTGCGTTAGGCAACACAACTAAATCTACAGAATGCACCCCACCCCGAATTGTGCAATTAAACACGCCATCCTACGGGTGGTCGTGTTCATCGGGACAAATGGTGTATTTACAGCGCCAGTAGGGGGGCTGTAAAGGGAAAATGCACATGTGGTATTAAGCAACGAGATCCATGGGCATTATTCAAGTACTGTTAGACTTTGGTCTGATTGGAAGCTGAGTAATGATGACAGATTATTCTGACTTGTAACAGATTATTCTGACTTGAACAGATTTACTGCTATGGATATACGAGGTTGGTGATCCGATTATACAACAAACGATTGGTCTGCCAATGGCAACTAACCTTACCCCAAGTATAGCCAATGTCCAATTATATAGATCTAAAAGGAAACCAGTGGATAAAGTAGCTATAACATCTATCAATGATAACATCATCTCGACCCCATGCAAAACTACAGTGACAACTTCGCCCAACAATGATCGCGACCCCATGTACACATCTGATCAAAACTACAGTGACAACTTTGCCCAAAATAAAGTAATTTGATCGATTCTTTCAATATATCCATTTTGCATTATAAAGTGAACGACCAACTCTTTATCTTACATAATGCTTATAATCTCCTATCAGTTTAAGTGCATTATGGGACACAAACGGAATTTTAAAGGAATTTGGAAACTACCAGGATTTGCAATTTCTTACAAGCATAGGTGATGATATGTTGTGGAATGGTACAATTGACTAAGACAGTTATTTTCACCCATTCGAACGATTATAGGTATTTTCAAATTCATCATCGCCTTTTATGGCTGTAACGTAACTGTTGTTTGCCATTCTGGCTAAATGACCATCCAGGCCAAGGCTGCTTTCTTGTATTCAGTATAAGGAAATGAAATGAAATGGCGTTTAACCGCCTACTGTTCTGCTCCTGAAGACGGTAAAAAAGATCTTTGTATCTAATAGACTAATATACTTTGGAATACTTTGAACCCTATCGATTATTATTTTGGACCAGTTGGGAGGGAGTGGGATGAGGTCTGTTATTGAGTCACGTGGTATGGTTTGTATCCCAAGCTGGTATGTGACCAAACTGATCGGAAGTGAATATTCGCTAGGCCGGTACAATCACATGCATGACATCTGTGCGAGTTAATTAGCTCAAAATATTAACCATTTTTTTCTTCTGCAATTTTTTTTTATATTAATAAAAAGAATAAATGGGATGGATGTATATCTGGATACAAATTATTTCCTGGGTCGTCTCACTGCTAGAGACCCCTGTGTGCAAACGGATTATTGAAATAACATTGAACCATATGTTGGTCCCGATGTGACCTAGTTTGTGTCGAGAGGACGTTAAACTCCAATTATCTATTTTCTCTGTTTATGTATGAGTGGTGTTGTTCTCTGTGTAGGACCTACCTGGAATAATGGATTTTGATCTTTCAAACAAAGCTGGAATTGATTTGTTTTCAAGAAAACAGTATTTTAACCGACACCAATTATCTTCATCATCTTCCCATTTTTCCTCAAAAAATAATATCTGTTCCATATCTAGCCCTAGATCTCTAGGTATATGCTCCCGTTTTTCACCTATAACAATAGGCAGAAAGGTGGCAGTTTTACCGCCATTGATCAGTTTCATAAACGATGTTTGCTGGGTGTATTTATGCCAACAATTATCTCTGAAGCCTTTAGTTAAAATGACCACTACTTTCTCGCATGGTTCGATAAACGTAGCTGAATACACTTCAAATAGATTACTTCCTGGAAGAATTTTCTCAAAATAATACCCATCGGTAAAGCCACACCCAGTTAGTTCATCTTCCATTTTCGCTAGAAAAGCTCTAGACAATTTTTGGTCATTATCTCTATGACTTGCTGGACCATCAACATAGTTGTACAGAACACAATAATGATACTTCTTTCCGCTTAATTTCGTCTTTGAAATAACCCTGTCCATTTTTACTCACTGTTTCGTTTTCTGTTCTGAGAGTTGCGTCCCCTTGTATTAGGCCATTTTGCATTAAAGTATCACAAGCTGCTTCAAATGTAGCAAGAGTTTTAAGGACGGGCAGGGAGATTAGGACGGCAATAGACTCCAGCTGGCGGTCATCTGATCCCATGGATTAGTTCCGATTTATCCTACACGCCTGTTGTGTTACAGTTTTGAAATTGTCACCAATAACACCGGTTGTATTATATCACAATGGTTAACTATACATATGTGTCACATTCCTTGACGCCTCGTTTTCGATAATATCGCGTGCAGATATTAAAAGTTCGTCTGCTTTTCGAGCTAGAGTAAAGCGTAACATTTTGGTTTCATCTTTTAATAATATAATATGCAACTCTTAATGGACGTATTACAACAGGGTAACGAATTATTGCGTTGATCAATTAACCGGTCCCTTAGTTACCTTCGTCTACCAATTAACTAGTCCCTTTGTTACCTTCGTTTTCCAATAGAAACCAGCGGCTGCCAGGCACGATACGCCCTCATTTTCGAGAGATGGATAGAGAACAAGCTAAGAAGAAAGTGATTTTTCCTACAATCAAGGGCCATAATTCAGGAAATTACAATTCGATATGCGCAAATATCGAAAAGAACCGAGATCTTTGTGTTATAAACTTACATTTCAAGTTTCAACAAAATCGGATAAAAATTGTGACTTCTATAGGGTCAACAACTTTGATATACCCTATTTTTACGCTATTTGAGAACGAAGGGTGGCCATTTTATCTGTCAGTTTTGGGCCGATTTTCACGAAATTCGAACTCAACTGTCCTTAGGGTGTAACGGTGATATAATAATACGTTTTTTTAAATCTGATAAAAATTATGACCTCTATAGGGTCCACAAACTAAAAATGTGATTTTTCATACAATCAGGAGCCATAATTCAGGAAGTTACGGTCCGATATGCGCGAATATCGAAAGGAACCAAGATCTTTAGGTTATAAACTTACATTTAAGTTTCAACAAAATCGAATTAAAATTGTGACCTCCATAGGGTCTACAACCTTGATATACCATATTTTTACGCTATTTGAGAACGAAGGGCGACCATTTTGTCTGTCAGTTTTGGGCCGATTTTCACGAAATTCGAACTCAGCCGTCCTTAGGGTTTAACGGTGATATAATAATACGTTTTTTTAAATTGGATAAAAATTATGACCTCTATAGGGTCCACAAGCTAAAAACGCGTATTTTCGTACAATCAGGGGCCATAATTCAGGTAGTTACGGTCCGATATGCGCAAATATCAAAAGGAACCGAGATCTTTGGGTTATAAACTTACATTTCAGGTTTCAACAAAATCGGATAAAAATTGTGACCTCTATAGGGTCCACAACCCTGATATACCATATTTTTACGCTATTTGAGAACGAACGGCGGCCATTTTGTCTGTAAATTTTGGGCCGATTTTCACGAAATTCGAACTCAGCCGTCCTTAGGGTGTAACGGTGATATAATAATACGATTTTTTAAATCGGATAAAAATTATGACCTCTATAGGGTTCACAAGGTAAAAACGCGATTTTTCGTACAATCAGGGCCCATAATTCAGGAAGTTACGGTCCGATATGCGCGAATATCGAAAGGAACCGAGATCTTTGGGTTATAAACTTACATTTCAAGTTTCAAAAAAATCGGATAAAAATTGTGACCTCTATAGGGTCTACAAGCTAAAAACGTGATTTTTCGTACAATCAGGGGCCATAATCCATGAAGTTTCGATCCAATACATGCCAATATCGAAAGCAGCCGAGATCTTTTGGGGATAAATCTATATTTCAAGTTTCGTCAAAACCGGATAAGAATTGTGACCTGTAGAGAGTCCACAAACAATTGTGGACGGACGGACAGGGGCGACGGCATAATACGTCCACATGAAAATGTGGGCGTATAAAAATAACATACATTGTAGTTTAGCTTATCAATGTATGTTAGATTCTCTCACAGAAGGGAAGAGGAACTGGGACTCCGAAGAAACATTTGCTTACAATATTATTTATTCGCTCCATTACGACCGGGTTGTCTCGTGCGACTTTCTTCGGTCATCTATTTTGAGTTACATGGGTCAATATTCAAATTGCTGGGGGAGGGGAATGATATGTCAAAAAGTTTATAACCTTGATTTTAAATCACAATGACCGTCATTGAGTCAACTGGCGTAGTTTAGATTCACCGCTTGTACGTGACAAGGAGAAGGTTCGACTGTTCAACCTCCTCCCCCACATTGCTAAAGACCCCCTACACACAAGAGAATTATTATAATAAATTTGAACCAAATGTTAGTCCCGAAATGACCTAGTTTGTGACGAGTGGTCGTTAAACCAATACCAAAAACGTTTTATTTACTGCCAACATCACGGTTAGGTTCTATATAAAACAACAATATTAAACTGTGATTCCTTTATATGTTTATTATAAATCATTGCAAAAACAAAACTGGTTTGTTCGAGAGGAAAGATGCTTGCAACTACATGAAATTATGTAATACTTAAACGAAGTAATGCAAGGTTTCAGTTTCCATACAATAAAAAGTATGATGTACATTGGCCGCCATTTATTTGAGACCGTTTACCAATAGACGGAGATGGTAGGTATATATAACATATTTATAACAAATAGACGGATATGGTAGGTAGATATCATATTTAAACATATTGTCCTGGGTCCAGAAACTGTGGTAGAAAAACAATGATATCCATAATCTTGCGAAAACCTGGAATAAAAAGGAGATTATAAATGGGCAAAGATGCCGGAGTGATCAAAAATGAAATGAAAATATGGGGTGTAACATTTTACTGTTTCTGCATCAACTGGACTAATGTAGTGTACTATGCGGACCTTTTTGTTCCGGATGGATGCGTGTCCAACTGCCCAATATAGAATTTCACCTACCAATTGCCTGGTTAACGTGGAGTTAAAATTTCTTATAAATAGATAAAAGAGAATACACTGAAAAAAAACTTGTGTTGAAACAACACAAACTTGTGTTATTTTCAACACAAGTTAGGTGTCTCTATTTAACAACACAATCTTGTGTTAAATGTTGAAACAACACAAAACTTGTGTTAAATGTTGAAACAACACAAAACTTGTGTTAAATGTTGAAACAACACAAAACTTGTGTTAAAGTTGAAACAACACAAAACTTATGTGAAAATCTACACATTATTTGTGTTGAAATTTCTGAAACTTGTTTGTGTTGAAATTTCTGAAACTTGTGTTGAAATTTCTGAAACTTGTGTTGAAATTTCTGAAACTTGTGTTGAAATTTCTGAAACTCGTGTTGTTTCGTACAAACTTGTGTATAACAAAAACTTGTGTTGTATTTTACCAATTTATATCCAGTATAACAACCTTTCGAATGCAACCCCTTCCATAAGTTCTGTTTAAACTCTAATTATTGATAAATGACATAATAATTTTGTTTGTTAAATTATTATTTATTCAATAAATGATATGAAAAAATAAATTAATGCCTAATTAATACCAATACAGACATCTTGAAGGTTAATAAACAAAGTTAATTCCAATACTAATAAAATTGTGTTATACAATGAAAAAATACCCACCCCCCATTCCCAATTATTAAATAAAAAGTAGCTATTTAAATTGAAAAATAAAGTTAATTTCAATACTAATAAAATTGTGTTCAATAATAACAATATCCCCCCACCCCTCAAAAAAAGCTATTTAATTTTTTTTTACAATTAACCTTAAAAAGAACTGAGAATATAATATATATGTTCACAATATCCCTACCCCATGGTCCCAAAACATACATTTTAAATATATCTAAATTTAATATCAACCAAACCAAGCACTAAAGACATTAATAATGCACTAAATTGAAATACTTTTAAGAAAAATTAGTCCCTTTAACAGATTAGGAATTCAAAATTTTCTACAGTATATAAATGGGAACTAATAGATAAAGCACAGGCAAATAATTATAGATAGATAAAATAAATATAGCATAAAAATCAAACAAAATGGAGAAAATTAAAAATTTGTAAAACAAAAATTGATTAATTAATAAAACCATTTTATATAAAAGAGGCATTAACATTCGAAATGTTCACTAAATGTTTAAAAATAAAGGTTGATTTCATCCTACAATAATACATTTTTATAATTATCGAATGTTACTATTAATTATTGATGATCCCTCTATATTATTTCAAATTTTCAGGCCAAATCTTTAGTGTTTAGGATTACACTGCATTCTATATAATGAAACAATATTAGAGATGATAATCTTTAAGAGGCATTTAGTAACTGGGTAGAGCAATACACAAAAAACACATACTTATGGAAAAACAGCTACTTATTTATTTGGGCGACGTTTCGAAGAGTATTCTCTCAACGTTATCAAGCTAATACAGTAATACAAGAATAATGAGATCAATATATACAGAAAACTGTAACAATATTAGAGATGGTTTGGTATTTGACATTAAAAACAAAAATGTGATTAAAAAGGCAATGGTGACATATAACTTTTGGGTTTCCACAATAAGATCTGTAAAAGAATTTGATGACTTTATATTCAGAATTTAGAGTTGTTTTCTTTCTTTGGTATTAATATTCACTAAATAGATATAATTCTCCAAGGATGTTCAAGTGATTATTATAAATACACTTATCGACAAATGGGGTTTTGATGTGGATTTAACTTGGTACACCAGTCATGGGTATATAGTTGAAAAGAGCATAATTTAACAATATATTATATTATTTTGAGACTCATATGTATGACTACATGCGAATGCAAGAGGGGGGGGGGGTATTTTAGTCAGGTAGCATTATTGCTTACTCATGTACACCAAAAACACGTCATCTCGCCTAAACAGATGTTTTACGCCAAAACGCTTCAACTTGATTGATTGCCATGTTTTTGGTGTAGATTTATATCTTTTCTTGGGCGCCGAATCGAACTACGGCTTTTAAAATGTTCAAAAATCGACGTAAATTGATTTTTTCAACGATAGTTGGTATACAACGATGAGCACATGAGTGAGTAGACTGTGGGAAAGTTACGACAACTCATTTCCAGGCGCCATTTTGGGTCCCAATTATGACGCCATAAATGCTATGACGTCATGGCTTCATACAGGTTTACATACCAAAATTTGTTTTTTTCTTGCAGTATTAGGCGTTGAGGGATAATATAACGTTTTACCCTAAAAAAAAATGCAAAAGAAACCAATGCAGTTTGGTTCAGTGATAAATATATCAAACAAAATCATACCCAAAATCGGGGAATTTTCTGAGAGCGATATCTCGTAATCAGTGTGTTTTACTATATACTCGTTGGATTATAAATGATTTCTTTTTAAATTCCTCAAACACAGAGTGGTTATGCAAGCGAAATGTGCCGAAAAATCGAATTTGACAAACGTCAAATTAAAAAAAAAGAAGTATTTGTTATATGGTGCCGGGCGTTTCTTTCATAATGGCCGCCAAATTTGGTAATATTATTATTATTATTATTATTACAGCATATTTATAGCGCGCCCTTTCATAAAACATGTTCAGGGGCACTTTACAAAGTGACAATGTAATCATAAATAAACAACAAGATTATGGACATGTTAACAATTGTATACAGAGTCAGTTAAAAGCCTCATTAAATAAATGTGATTTAAGTTGTTTTTTTAAAAGAATATAGAGATGTACAAGATCTTAAACTAAATGGTAGATTATCCCATAAAACAGGTGCTTGATAACTAAAAGAGACTAGTTGAATAGTTTTGGGCTTTAAAAATAGTTTATCTGATGTACGTAATATTCGACCATTATATCGTGGTTATGTACGCGAAATGTGCGGAAATCGAATTTGACAAACATCAATTAAAGAAATGTATTTTCCATGTGGTGCCGGGCATTTCTTTTAAAAGGGCTACCGAATTTGGTAATACATGTATAAGGCAATTTAACAAAAAAAACATAAATTTGGTAGACTAAAAGGGCATCTCTTAAGATACGTAAGATATGACTTTTGCAATGTCCTTTATATGGTTTTCGATGTCTCTGAATTTGAAGATAAATTTTGAAAATACAAAATAGCAGCAACACCAATTGGCGGATATTAAATTAATCGTCATTTTTCCTGTTGGATATTAGATAGTGTCTCTTAAGCATGATGTACACTGTAGTTCGATGTACCCTGTAGTTCAGATACAGTCTCCAAACCGTGTTTACGCTGACTGTAGTTTGGGTGTAGTTCGTCAAATGAAGATGAATTTTACGATACAAAAAAATGAATATATTGTAAACGCGCTTTAAATATCTGGATGCGATAGACTTCGTGATGAAAAATTCAAGGTACATTATATCATTGGCAATAATAAGATCCAATTTTAGCTTTTAGTTACACACTGTTAACCACCAATAGATGTTTTAATGACAATAAATCATAAAATGTATTCAGCTCGACGTAAGACATAAATAGATACAGTTGGTTTAACTTGAATAGAAGTTTTAATTATCTATGCTGCATATATGCATATATCACCTTGCAGCTGAATCACATTACATATCTTTTTAGTTGATGTTCATATCGTCTTAAGTATTTGTGAACATCAAGGTTAGTGCGACCCATTTGTGACAATTTCTAGTTCCCAAATATTAGCGATTTAGCTCCTTTAAAAGCGAATGCAAGTTAAATATGTTTAATCAGAGGCGGATTCAATGGGGGGCGCGAGGGGCGCCCCCCCCCTCCCTAATTTTCAACAGTGCCCTTTTTTACGGCTGAAAGTGCCTTTTCTCAGATTCAAATATGTCAGTTCCCAACCCGTTGTAGGGATCCCAAATGACTCGAACCATCGACTCAAACACACCAGTCTTGGAATGGCTACAGATGTAAGGAAATGACGGATAATTTTCTTAGGGACCCCCCCCCCCCCCTCAGCGGCAAGCCCCGTCTCCGCGGTCAATGCCTTCATTTTGCAGCCCCCCCCCCCTTTTCAAAATTCCTAGATCCGCCCCTGGTTTAAGAGTACTTTTATCTAGTGTATCTTTTATTTTGATTTTTCTTATAGAATAAGGCTATATAACAATAATGTGCGCTTCTTGTTGTATAATACTAATAATAGTATGTTCAGCTATACTTTTCGTTTAAAAATGTATGTTTTATGTCCTATATACACTTATTCGCTGAAATCTATGACATCCAACAATATAATAGGTCATATAAATAGATAATAAGTTTGCATGACGTCATATGAAATTTCTGGCTTCACAGTTGTCGCAACTTTATCTATACACGGCGTTGCGTCGACCAACCATGCAATGTGAAGTAGATGTCAATATGGTTATGTGCATAGGCGTACGAGATGGGGGGGGGGCTGGGGGCGGCGCCCCCCCCCCCCCATTTTGGGAACCAAATGCTGGGAAAATTTGGGCACACAATTGTACTTTGTAAAAGTTGTATAAAAAAAATATTGTGTTCTTGAATGTGTCCAATTAAACAGCGAATTTATTATTATTATGTAACATACTAAGAACCTAACTACATTTTTGGGGCACCAACCACCACCGCCCCCCAGTCAAAAATTTCCCCGTACGCCTATGGTTATGTGTAAGAATATTCAGTTCAATATATTCACGGTGTATGATTTTATTCATACTTCAATTTTAGTGAGTTACTTCTGCAACGTTTTTAGAAAAAATTGCTATTAATTTGGCCAGTACTGTAATAGCAAGTGTATAAATATTTTCTGTTCAGTCTGTACACAGTAACATATCTGAGAACCATATTATCATTTCTGCCCAAGGCTCCCTGTGATTTATAGTTAGCAGTGATACAAGGCAATTACCAATTTTCCATGCTCTTGGCCTGAAGAAATAAAATAATAAAAGTCAAGTTTTTATTATTATGCAAGTGGAAAAATACAATTATTCATAGTATGATTTGAATAAATACAACTGATTTGAAGTTGGAATTATTATTTGTCTAAGATGACTGGGCATTTACAAATTGAAATAGCTACTCTTCATCAAGAAAATACATGAATATTTTTCCCAATCCACCTGGATTTTATTGTAGGTCTTTGTACGTAAAATAGCTTTATTTAACGTCCGCTTCCACCGAAGTGATATTGCAGAAAATTAACAAATTCGGATTCCCTTTTAAAGGAATTAGACTATACTATCGCTGGATTGTATTATATTCAAAATGGCGCCCAGAACACAAAACAAACATTGCAATTCAGGGCGGACTGGTGTCGAGGTTGTATCCTAAGAATGATTTTTTCAATATTTAATCAAACAGAACACAATTATGCACATGCAGTTATGATATAATATTAAATTAGCTTACCTCAAATACCTCGAAATATACTGTTTGGTCAGTTTGTCCGCCCGCCATATTTCTATTAGTCACACATCCTTCGGCCAATTAAAATGGACGTATATTTTGTTTTAACCGAAACGAAAAATTTGCGTTATAAATACATTGTATTAAAAAATACCAAAATCACAAACCTGATGTTCTTATTTTCTGAACAAACTTTTTTCACAACAATATCACTTTTTTTCGATACTAATGCTTAATAATACAATTAACATTTGCAGTACCACAGGGTTTAATACCGCAAAATTACTTCAATAAATATTTCTTTCTTTGTTTTAAGAGTAATTCATTTTAATTGGTCATTTACAGGTAAGAATAAATTTCCAATTTCGATTAATGAACCAATTAAATTAAATAAAAAGATTAACTCGACTATTTCCACGCCCATTCAAACATTTTTTTAAAACGTAGATATAACACAATTGTTATTGTCTTTGATGTGTCAAGTTTATTGGGGCGATATCAATCAGACACTTCCAAATGCAGACATTGTAATAACCTGTCTCTGTATATTGTCTGAGACAAGATGTGAAAATAAACAAAGAGTAGAATCAGAATAATCTTTTATTATATCTAATTAAATAAATAGTTTATATTTAGATAATAATTGACTAAAACTTTGATCTCTTATATCAGTATACTGTTATAAAATACGTTGTTTTAAAAGAGATATTAAATGCATCGCACGATACATACATTGCGATTTCTACTTAATGTTTGTAATAATTAATATAATATCCTTTTAGATAATTAGAAATATTAAAAATCAAGTGAATTACTCGACATTCAAATTCAGGAAGAGTGGTTTTACATATAGGCTAGGCCAGATCCCTAATCCAGTTCCCCAATCCCATTCAGATTTTCTCAATAAATAAAATGTGATAAAGGAACATAATAAATGTTATCTTTAATGTCGACGTAATTAATTATATGGGGAAAAAACCACATAAGATTTTATAAATGTACACAAGTTTGTGTTAAGACATTGAAAAGAACACAAACTTGTGTCATTGCAATGCAATACAACACAAACATGTGTTAAATATTTTTAACACAAGTTCTTGTGTTGAGATCCAACACAAGGGTTTTTTCAGTGTACATGAATTGAATAAAGAAATATGAGAACTGGCAAATAATTATTCTAATACCTAACATACAAGATATGGGTAAAGATATTAGCGCATTGGTACCAGGGGCTTGTTTCACGAAATTTTAAGTAAGATAAAATCCAAATTTTAGTATTTAGTAATTTGATTGGATATTAGATTTACTTTAGTGCTTAGCCAATCAAAATTGAAGTATCTACTAAAGTTCGGATTTTATCTTTAGTTAAGATTTCGAGAAACAGGGCCCTGGTATTCTAATTCAGTAATTCCCAATCTTGCATTTACTGTGATAGTTAAGATTTCCCATAGGAGCGTAGGCCATAACACAAAGCTTTAATAGACCCTAACGAAGTCATGTCACATCAACTCATAGCAAGATGCTAGCCCCCTATTTAAACTTACCTGATTTGATTGTTCTGTCCGTAGAACCAGAAAGAGAAGGATAATCTGTTTCGAGATCTTCTGCATTCGCTTGATTGGTGTCTTGAACTATAAATATTAATAAAATCATTATCGCCATCATCATCAAACTAATATCATTTATTGTATTTAGCTATGGAAAGACCAATGTTGTTGGTAGTTTACTGTAAAATGCATTAACACCGATTAACCGATTAAGAGCAATTACAACAAAATATTTTGGCTTTATGAATTCCTCAAATTTATTTTATATAACCATATACATGTAGATGGAGCGATGGGTTGAGTCTGGATTTCAGAATCCGACGGCGACTGGGTAGAAGATAACACCGGGGCCATCAGCCCTGTGACTTAAGTTTGCCGAGCCTGACAGGGAATTGGGTATTAATGGTTATTACTGTTCCCTGATCCGTTTTCATCCATTTGTAATAAAAAAAAGTTTTACACAAGAAGAGAATCTACAATGGTCGTTAACCTTCAACATGATCCCAAGTGCGATTAATCGTCCATTAGCAGGTCCAGTTGGGAATAACGTACATTGGTTCAAATTTCGAATTTAGATTTACTCGCCCTAATGTTTTTGCTGCCAAAATAAAATCCTTTGTACTACATCACATTGGTTATTGCAACTCTGAATTTTATTATAATGTTTCTTTATTTAACGGGTGATTCCGCCAATATAGTGAGTGGGGCTCGCCGTGTATTTGAGTATCATTTCCTATTCCTGGCAAATAATATTGTGGAGATGTGCAAACTATGTAAGTGCAGTTGATCTCTTTTGAAAGGCTATTAACATTTACTAAGTCGGCTGAGAAGATATCATTTTCATACTGTCAAATGACCAGTCATGTTAGAAGGTAAAAACGTACGGTATAAAAAAGGCACCAATCTCTTTCCGCAGTTTAATTTGATAGCTATGGAATTATCTCTAAAATAGGGATACCGATGACAATTTACAGTACGAAAAGCTATTTCATCAACCAGAAGACGGAGTCAACTAATTACTGCTAGTTTTTTAGGGTTTTATTAAACAATTTAAATTTTAGATATGTGTCATTAAACGATTTAAATATATGTGTAGTTGTGTCGTTGAAACAACATAATTATTCCACAATTCAAGGAGAAGGGAGTTTCTGCAACACATTGATTGGTATAAGTTTGATGTTAAAATATTTTCGAACGCATTACAGTGACAAGTGATATAAGAAAAGCTGTTACCTGAGCGGCGAATTGTTGAGAATGACGTGTTTTGGACGAACGCTTTTTTTAACATCCTCCAGGATTCTTTATCATTTTTCCAGTCGGCCTCAAAAAACAAAACATTTGCGGTGTCTAATCCTAGTTCTCGTTTTATGTCCTCTTTCTTGGAAAGACCTAAGGAAACGGGCAGAATAGCAGAATTGAGTACACCTTCTTTCACTGCTGCCATTACGTTGTTTTGTTGTGCAAAGGTATTGAAGGCGTTTTCCATGTACCCTTCAGTTAAAACCATAACCACACGTTCCGAATCCTTTATCATCGTTAAGGGATTGGCGAACATATTTCTTCCGGGTAACAAATTATCGAAATAATTCAATTTCGTAAATGGCAAGCCATTTAACATCTGTTCAAGTAATTTCACGAAGTTGTAAGAATTAATCTGATCCTCATCACGTTTACTTGCTGGTCCTTCATGGTGATTGTATAATACGGAGACATGATACTTCTTCCCTTCTGGTAACTTTCTCGGGGGACATGATGCACACTCCATTTTAGTTACTTTCGTGTTCTTGTAGACTGTTCACAGTTACCTCCCTTATCTCGGTACTACGATTTGTATTTCGTCTATTTATAACTATTCGTTCTTTTCTCCTCATTTGGCATGTCAATTTTTGTTGATTTGTTGCTCTAGAATGAAAAAGAGAGGGTTTTTGTTTTTATTTTCTGCTAGGTTTTGGTAAATATTCAAAATCTAGAGGCGGAAGGATAAAAGAGTTAATGCGCGGAGTCGGTGATTATATCTATTTATATCACCCGTTGCATCTAATAATATAAACGGGCCGGATGGAATGTTGTATGAATTGAAATGTCCGGAAACTGTATATTATATAAAATTAAATTAACATACTGAATAATGGTTATCTGATCAGCGTTTTAAACAAAACAAAACTTTAAAATATTCTTCTACAGAGCTTTATAATGAAGGAATATTTTAAAAAAACATAACGATTACAAATTTCGGATATTTAATCAAATTTTCATTTAATTAAACATGCATTATGCAAGAGCAAAATCTGCTTATTACAAGTCTTTCTTTAGGCCTGAAATGTTATCTAAATTATCAATTAATTAACTTATCCAGACCATAATAAACTCTCGATGTCAAGGCTAGCCTTCGATGTTGGCTTTGATTAGATTCCTATATGCCGCTAACGGCTATTGATAATTAAATCAATAAAAGTGGATAATCGAGACTATGCTGTTTATATTAATGATTTTAGTAATGATGACCGAGACTATGCAAAAATTTCACCCGCTTCTTTCTCGACTCATAGTGGATCAATTTGACTGAAATTTTCAGCAAATTACCTTTACACTATCTAGTTTTTAACTATTATAGCGAGAACTGCCATCTCTTTATCTTATCTCACATAATGTATCTTTAATAATAAATTACAGTGATTAATTTTTAAAATGGTTTTATTAATCAATGTATCACTGCCTGCAAGCAATACAAAATTTAATGTTACAAGAAATAGAACACGTTTTGAAATTCGAATGTAGTGTTATTTGAAAACTAAGAGTACCGGTATGAATTTGTATGCTGATTGAGTACCCTACTCAAAAAAATATATATATATTTTGCAGAGATAGATTTGTTTGAAAAGATTTCCATTTACAATGTTCTTTGGGGTGGCTGAAGAAACTTTCTTCCTGACCGGGATCCACCATCCCTTGCAAGAAATTTTCATCCAGCCCTCGTATCTTAATAATCCCGGTTATATTTTTACCTGACCACCGACAATATTCTTTGATTTTCACCTTGGGGGATAATAATAATATTGGGCATATATTCATGGTTTTTAATACTATAATACTTAAGACCTCGTGCAATAACATTTTATAGAAAATTCGTTTTAGTTAATGATTGATTTATTCTAAAAATGCAGCCGAAAAAGAATATTTTCGGGCAAATAGCCTCAGCCCCCACCCCACCCCCAAAACAGAGATTGTCCTCCTCATGGACAGGTAGTAAAAAGAATTTTAAAAACACTTGTAAACCTGTCACGTTAAAATGATCTCTCCAGGTTTTGCTATACCGGAATAACTTGCGATCTGAAAGCTTTGGGCGGCTCATCTGGTGAGTCTATGATTCCTCGGTCGTCGTAAAATACCAATTCCTCGCTTTCAACTCAAGTTGCAAAGTTCAAGGTTCGTCCAATGTCAAGGTTCGTCGCTATGTCACAATCTCTGATTGGGTGCTACTGTTCACGTGTCTGCAGGAAACGTAGCTATAAGTTCGGGAATTGTGAAGTAATCTGCGATATCACCTCAGTGAAAGCGGACGTAAAATACAACTAACTAAGTAAGTAATCTAGCTTGTCTGCGATATCTCCTCTGGGGAAGCGGGCGTTAAAACACCAGGTAGTAGTAGTAATCTAGCAACGTCCAGATGTTGTAAAACTCGCGCGCAGTCGGTGGTTCAGGAACATAGGGACGGCTTCGAATATATATCCAGGGGATATTCTTCGAGTAATTCTTCGTAGTTTTTTTTTCGCATGGAAACATGAGGTTATTCTTACAACGTATACAGGTATGGGTTATTCTTTTCATTTGGATTCTATCCATTGACACAATTCTTATGCTTTTTGCATACCTAGCCATTTTAGCTGGTGAATTAGTATCGGTTTAGTGGACCTACACTCTCTTTGAGAGAGAGAGAGAGGGGGGGGGGGTAAAGTTATGGAACACGATAACTTTGTTTCAAGTTGGTTGGGATTGATCAAACTCATTATATCAATACCTTGAACATGTTCTGCTCAGACATTGTTTATTACCGTAGTGGCGTGAGGATACAAGATAGTTCGATAGAAAACTATAGTTATAACCACCATTTCTATAGCAGAACTTATGAATTTAGAGTAATTTTTGTCTATTTCTGGTGATTTCAATGGGTAGGTTCACAACATGGTCTGGTACGAACTACGAAGACAATAATAATACTACAGTTGTAGTTCTTATGTCTATGATTCATTCAATGATTGTACTTGTTGGTGAGAAAAGTTTGTGTCAACCATGTGATCAGGCTTAGAACTTTTCAGACTTAGAATTTTTCAAAATATGGTAGTTCTAGCAAAAACATGGTAGACATGTTGGTGGTTATTTACATGTGTTGTAACTGAAGGGATTTCTGGATTTTTTCGCGATAATATTCGGGATGTCTATGTAAACGCAACATTCTATTAGATAACTAATGCTGTAAATGCGAAGTCCATACAGCATAAATAAAAAGAACAGACGACCCACAGTACAACTGTCAACGCATGATATCAATATAAACGAGCACCGTTCATTGCTCATCGTACATTGCAACTCGGCAAATGATTTCTACAATTGCATTACGGTGATATGTACAGCTGATGTTTCGCATTACGTTTTTCTTGTAATTTAATGTTTTTGTTTTCATTGTTGAATAAAATTATTACAAGCCCGGTCTATACAGCGCAGTGGAAATGAAATGGTCTAATGAAGATAGACAGGCCAGTAAATGCTTACGGCTAACTCCCGGATAATTTTACTTGAATTGATATATATACATATGGTTGTTGTTTATTACTTGCAGAGGTTGGGTGGCAAATCAAAACCGATAAGACAAACAACGGGACGGGGAAGACATTGCAAGAAATAAACAACAAATATCAAACCAAGTGAATGGATCCGGGGGCCAGCCGTAAGCTTCTACTGCGCTGTACGTATGTATAGGATAGGGTCTGTAATGATGCAGGCTTCACTTAAATAAATGATTTACGTAAGAGAAATAATTCGACCGGTCTTAACAATGACCATCTCTTGAAGAATGAGTTACTCGTTATTGTGAGTAAGACGTTGGCTCGCTAACCCGGAAGTGTTCATCGGGATTTTATGGCGTGGTTTCCACTTGTCAGTGGTGTAGGACAGGTCAACATATACATTAAGTTGAATACTGAATGAAATCTCTCCACTGATTCTTATGTTTATTAATATAAGAGGGAGGGGCAATAACCGAAGATATCAAGATATCTCGCGCAAGAAGGGGAAACAACTGCCCCAAATTCACCTCTAATCAAGTGCTTCAACTTCCTTAAAGCTGGACTCCGATTACAAAACTACAGAAATAATTAAATAAAAAACATTAACGCCCTAAATAATCGCCATACTTGTTTTCAAGTTGTAGAACAATCATGGCGATTGCACGGCGTAAAAAAAAACAGAGGCAGGCCACGCCCACATCCAGTGATTACGTTTCTAGTGTAAGGAAAGATTTGTAATATAAGAATCTTCAATGAAAAAAATGGAATTAAACAGTTAGAAGGTTTAATGGATCCATGTGATTTAAAGCGTCGACACATGGATCCAAAATTTTCAGTCTACAACAGAATACTGTAGCGTCCTCTAACCAGAGGTCTGCTATCAGTGAAGGTAATTCTGCCACCAGTGACTTCTTCCGGTGAGTCACGGACCAAGCTCTTCGGGCGAGCGGTTAAGAGATTAGCCAAAAGGTAATCTTCCCTTGCTCAAAAACGAACAACAACTTGTAATTTAAATTACCATTTATTCGTTAAAAACTTCTAAACTCAGGAGTCTTAGTTACAAACAATGTTGCAGTGTTTTAGATACCTATCAAGCATTAAGTAGCGGACGTTTAGTCCGGCCCAGATCACAATGATAACGATGGCACTATGCAAGGTAATAAAATAATGTACATGAAACAACTAGTCAAAATCATAATAACAAAACAAACCGGGAGGAACTAAATGACAGTGCAAAAATATATACAATGGCATTAAATTAACATAACAACATACTACGTAAAACAATCACTATACATATTAAATGGCATATATTGCATAATTTGGTTTGATTAATATTAATATACAAAGCATATAAATTAGGATATTGAATTATTATTTTAATCAATTATGGTGATAAGGAGCGCAGTTCTCTTGCTGGACACTTCAATACAATACAGAACAGCTGTATTCATCCACAAAAAAAAATAGTACCTAAAATTCATGTACATTATGTAGGTTTAAACGTCAAATGAGGTCAAATGAATAGAGACGTCTTTAATATATACTATATATTCGTATCATCCCAAATCGACAATAAAACAGTGAGAAAAAGGAAAATCTAAGTAATGGCAATCTAATTAACATAAAATTTACGTCATAATGGATTCTTCAATGTTTTGATGGTGATAATGAAGAAAATAGGCCTACATCTGTTCTCAGGAATCCGATAAGATTTTCAAAAAAAAGATCAGTAGAATTATAGATTGTTATTCCACAAAGTCGAAAGGTATGTTAGATTTTTCATTCAGTCAAGTTAGAGCGAGTTTATTGCCGTACTTTGAGCTCCAAACCCGATAGAAATGAAGGCGGAAGTGGCCATAATAGTTTTGGAGATCACTACGTGATGGCGCTCCTGCGTCGCGACAACGGGGCCGATTTGTCCAGTCCATGCCTTGTCAACCACACTGTCCACATCCGGCTAGTAATATTTCAGCTGACTGATTGACGTTTTTCACTATCAGTTTACTGAAAATATTATTG